AAATACAAAATTAAAACACAAAACCATTTATACTAACACATCAACCTCAAATACTCACGGCCTTTCACTGGGCGCTGGTGGCTCACGCCTGTAATCCTAGCTACTCAGGAGGCTGAGATTTGAGGATCACGGTTCAAAACCAGCCCGGGCAGGAAAGACTGTGAGACTCCTATCTCCAATAAACCACCAGAAAACCAGAAGTGGCGCTGTAGCTCAAGGAGTAGAGCTCTCGCCTTGAGCTGAAGAGCTGAGGGACAGCGCCCAGGTCCAGAGTTCAAGCCCCACGGCCGACCAAAAAAAAAAAAAATCTACGAGAGCAGACAACCACGCTGTGGTTTGAGAAAGAACTACATAAATGAAGAAGAATCCCAAGTTTGTGGCCAGAAAGGCTCAGTACCCTGCCCGCTCACCAGGGAGTACTGCACCCCCAGCCTTTTGGTTGGGCCAGCAAGTTGCTTTGTGGGAAACAACAAGGCAACTCTAAAGTTGGCTAAGAGAGACAACCAAACAGAACAGTCAACATAATACTGACACAGCTTGATGTCAGGACAAGACTACAGAAATGAAGACAGTATGGAGCAGGCCGCAACGGGGCAGCCACATGCAAAAGTCACAAAAATTGACTTAAAATGGATCCTACACCTAAAATTCCCATAAGATAACTCAGCAAAAATCCTTGATGACTGTGGCGCCTTTTCAGATATAACATGGATTACAGTTCAATCCATAAAATGAAAAATTGGTAAACTGGACTTAATTATAATATGAAAAACATATTCTATGAAAGCTATGTCAAGAGAAAGGAATGATGGGCCATAGATGAGAGAAAGTATTCTCCAGAAATGCAAAAGATCTCCTAAAACTCAATGGTAAGAAAGTAAACAGCCCAAGGAAAAAAAAGGGCGCTGTGGACTGATAGCTCACATCTATTTAGGAGGCTGAAATCTGCGGATAGAGATTCTTATCTCCAATTAGTAAGCACAAAACCAGCAGCAGAAGTGTGGCTCAACTGGTACAGTGCCAGTCTTGGGCAAAAAAGTTAAGAGCAGAAGGCCCTGAATTCAAGCCTCAGTACTGGCATATACACACACTCACAGACACACACAAAGAAAATGAACCAGTGACCTTAAAAACACCTTATCAACTAAGATGTATAAGTAGATGGTGTGTAAATATAAGAAAAGGCATTCGACATCATATCAGAGAAATGCAAAATAAAACTGGGATACGCTATACACAGATTAGAATGCCCAAAACCTTATCCTTAGACACACTAAATGTCAGTAGGAACACGAAGCAACAGAGCCAGTTTGAATACAAGAGGAGCTGGTCTGGCAGTGACTTAGGAAACCACGTAGATAGACCCCACACACTCCAGCAGCCATGCTACTTGTTATCCACCTAAGTGAGAAGATATCTGTGACCAAACACAGAGAAATTACACACCAACGTGCACAGGTGCCTAAACCCAGAAGCAACCAAGATATCCTAAAGCAGATAATGGTCTACCAGGTACCAGAATATGACTCAGCACCAAAAAGAAAGAAGCGGGGCTGGGAAGGTGGCTCATTGGTAGAGTGCTTGCCTTGCATGCCTGAAGCCCTGGGTTCGATTCCTCAGCACCACATAAGCAAAAAGAAAAAAGCCAGAAGTGGCGCTGTGGCTCAGGTGGTAGAGCGCTAGCCTTGAGCTGAAGAGCTGAGGGACAGCGCCCAGGTCCAGAGTTCAGGCCCCACGACTGGACCCAAAAAAAAAAAAGAAAAGAAAAGAAAGAAGTTGCCAAGACATGGAAGGCTCCAAAGCACACATTACACATCCCCATGTGACAGACTCTGCATGGCTCCAACTTGACGACATTCTGAAAAAGATAACACTTGGGAGACAATGAAAAAGATGGGAGTGAGGAGCCTGAGAGGGAGGCGGAGCAGAGAGGAATTTCGGGGCTCTGGATCACTCTGAATGACACAAGTCACACATTTGTCTAAAGGCACAGAACGTTCGACCCAGCGGCAGACCTGCTGAGCCGTGGACATTTGTCAATTGTAACCAATGTAAGAGAAATAATGCACAAGTTCATAATAAAGGAAACGGGTGTGGGGGCAAGGCAGGGTAACAGGATCTATGACGGATGTCTGCTTAATTTCTCCATAAACGTAAAACTCTTAAGACACCAGGGGTAGGGGCAGCTTGGGGACAGAGACTTGACTTAGCGTACATGAGATCCTAGGTTCAACCTCTAGCACTGAAGCAAAGTTAATTAAAAGGAAACTGTGATAGACAATTTGCTCCAGGAAAGTTAGAATGAACTTGTGACTTAGAAATCATGTAATCACTAAAAAAAAAGAACTTCGGGGAAGGGAGGGAGGGAGGGGATGGTAGGGGGAAAACAATGGAGGGGCTAAAAAAAAAAAAAGGAAACTGAGGCAAGTGCCGTGGCACACCTGCTACCCGGTGGCTGAGGTGGGAGGGTGGGCTAGGCACTGTGGGGTAGGGCGGTCGGGGCAACACAATGAGGAAAGCCCAGGTAGCAATCCCAGCTACCTGGAGGTGGAGAATGAAGCGCTGCAGTTCAAGGCCAGCCCAGGTACTGACAGCACAAGGCTATCCAAAAAGCAAACTAAAAACCAAAGATTGCATGCACTGCTCTAGTGGTATGGCACCTGACCAGGAAGCACAAGGTCCCGAACTACATCCTCAGTACAGTACACACACACGTGCACACGTGCATGCAGACACACATGCATGCGTACACATGCACACTCGTGTGCACGCACACACTAGTGCACACACATGCATGCCCGCAGATGTGGACACATGAAGATTAAGAGTCACTTTTCTGGTGCTTGAGTTTGAACTCAGGGCTGGCACTTCTCGGGCAGCGCCCATCCTGTTAGTGATGCTGGCTTTTAGGTTGTTTTTCAAATAGGGCCGAGCTGGCAGCCAGCCTCAGACAGACTGAGATCCTCCTTACATCTTCCCATGCTTAGCTGGGAATGATAAGCACACATATTATTACAGCAAGCTACTGGTTGAGATGGAGTCTCACTAAATTTTTGTTTAGACTGGCCTAGAACCATGATCCTCCTCATCTCTGCCTCCTGGCTAGCTGGGATTACAGGCACAAACCATTGTACCCAGCAAAGTCACTTCTTACTTGAAGTAAGATGACAGCGGGTAGATGTCTGCATACCTCCAAAGCTTCTTATTCATGTCCAAGCTCAGTAGGTACCAGTGACATGCTCATGAACTATTTCTAGCCAGGATTTGGAACAATTCATTCACCCAGAATTCATTCACTACAGTTCCTGCTAGTGTGCCAGGTACTTGACCAGTGAGTACAAGAGGAAACACAGACAGACACGGTCACTTCGGCACAACATTAGACCAACACTACATGACAAATCAATGTGAGCCAGATAAACCAGGGCTGCTCTTCTGCTCTGTACCCACCCTTTTACAGGAGACAAATGGAAGTACCTGGACCTCCACACTACAAGGACACCAGCACACCATGACACCCGGCTCTCACCTGTACCCACAACACCTGGACCTCCTCACTACAAGGACACCAGCACACCATGACACCCGGCTCTCACCTGTACCCACAGCACCTGGACCTCCTCACTAGGAGACACCAGCACACCATGACACCCGACTCTCACCTGTACTCACAACACCTGGACCTCCTCACTAGGAGACACCAGCACACCATGACACCCGGCTCTCACCTGTACTCACAACACCTGGACCTTCTCACTACAGGGACACCAGCACACCATGACACCCGACTCTCACCTGTACCCACAGCACCTGGACCTCCTCACTACAGGGACACCAGCACACCATGACACCCGACTCTCACCTGTACCCACAGCACCTGGACCTCCTCACTAGGAGACACCAGCACACCCTGACACCCGGCTCTCACCTGTACCCACAACACCTGGACCTCCTCACTACAAGGACACCAGCACACCCTGACACCCGGCTCTCAGGTGTCTTAGGAAAAACCCCCTCTGCTCCCAGTTCCACTGCTGCTCCTCCCCTGTTCCTCTCTCCCCCTGCACCTCCCTCAGGGTTCTTCCAGGCCAGGCACACCAGCATGGACATGGTCGCTGCTCCTCCCCTGTTCCTCTCTCTCCCCACTGCACGTCCCTCACGGTTCTTCCAGGCCAGGCACACCCGTATGTTCACGGTCGCTGCTCCTCCCCTGTTCCTCTCCCCCCCTGCACGTCCCTCACGGTTCTTCCAGGCCAGGCACACCAGCTCCCCTGTTCCTCTCCCCACTGCACGTCCCTCAGGGTTCTTCCAGTCCAGGCATACCAGTATGTTCACGGTCGCTGCTCCTCCCCTGTTCCTCTCCCCCTGCACCTCCCTCAGGGTTCTTCCAGGCCAGGCACACCAGCATGGACATGGTCGCTGCTCCTCCCCTGCACCTCCCTCAGGGTTCTTTCAGGCCAGGCACACCAGCATTTTCATGGTCGCTGCTCCTCCCCTGCACCTCCCTCAGGGTTCTTCCAGGCCGGGCACGCCAGCATGGACAGGGTCGTTGCTCCTCCCCTGTTCCTCTCCCCCCTGCATGTCCCTCACGGTTCTTCCAGGCCAGGCACACCAGCATGTTCATGGTCGCTGCTCCTCCCCTGTTCCTCTCCCCCCTGCAAGTCCCTCACGGTTCTTCCAGGCCAGGCACACCAGCATGTTCATGGTCGCTGCTCCTCCCCTGTTCCTCTCCCCCCCTGCAAGTCCCTCAGGGTTCTTCCAGGCCAGGCACACCAGCATGGACATGGTCGCTGCTCCTCCCCTGTTCCTCCCCGCCCCCCAACCTCCATCCTTTCCTTCCCTCTGCCTGTCAACAGGACCAACCTCCACCAGCCCAGGGCTCTCAAGTAAGTACAAGTGGGAAAGTCCTTTGTCTAGAAGGATTCTATGGGACTTGCCCACTAGTCAAATGAGCAGGCTTGTGCCTGGTGGAGTTATGAAAACATGAGAGGCACTCTTACCACTGGTTCTTCCCCTTCCTGGTGCTGAGGCAGCGTCCACAGTGAGGCACCCTCTTCCCGGCTTCGCTGGAGGACAGAGGATACAATAGTCAGCCAGGAGACAGGGCAGCGGCAGCCCCTGGGTCCCCACCCAGCTTCTCCCAGGGAGGGGCCAAGATCAGCAGTCAGGAGCAGCCTGTGAAACAGGTGCTTTGTGGCTGGTAACTGTGTGACTTAGGGCAAGTGACTGAACCCCTCTGTGCCTCAGCCATTACCTCTGAAAAATGAAAATACCCTCTATATGGCTCAGTAGTAGAGCGCTTGCCTTGCATGCATGAGGCCCTGGGTTCGATTCTTCAGCACCACATATGCAGAAAAAAAAAAGCTGGAAGTGGTGCTGTGGCTCAAGTGGTAGAGCGCTAGTCTTGAGGTGAAGAGCTGAGGGACAGCGCCCAGGCCCAGAGTTCAGGCCCACAACCGGACCCCAAAAAAAATTTTTTTAAAGAAAAAGAAAAAAGAAAATAACCCCTACACAGAGCCTGCACAGCATGATGGAAGATGCATGTTGGACTTACAAGTTTTCAAGGCAGAAGGGTCCACAAGACTCTGTCTCCAAAATAATCATGAAAAGGTTATGACGGAGGTACAACTCAAGTGGTAGAGTGCCAGCAGAACAAGCAAGAGCAGCAAGCACAAGACCCTCAGTTCAATCCCCAAGACCAGCCAAAATAAGGAAGAAATCTGATCCGCAGCCCAATGGCCAGACATGTGACCTACTTCACAGAAAAGACTGCCAATCAGACTAAAGAGCCAGGGAAATGCAGCACCAAATGATGACCTAAGATCAAGAGTTCTGAAACAATCAAATAAAATTCAAAATATGTCTGCCACATTATCTACCACACAAAACCAAACACTAGAAAAAAGTCTTTGGTAATAAGCTCGAATCCCGTGGCCCTTCTACGGTTATTCTTTTAGATAATCTAAGCTGGCCAAGTGGCGTGTGCATGGGGCAGTGCGCCGTTCGTGAGGCAGAGGCAGGAGATGGCCAGTCTGCCTGAATGACACAAGACCCTGAGTCAAAAATCTTTCTGGAAAACCATGATGAACACCAGACACCATGCTGAACATGAGCTACTTGACTTGTGAGTGAGGACCGGAAGGGAGAACTGGGAGCGAAGGGTGACCCTGTCCAGAAAGAAAGGTGCATCTGTACATCACCTCTGTACATCACCTTACAGTAAGAAATAAAAAATAACCAAAACGATGAAAACAATTTTTACCATAGTAATTTAAGACAATATAAAAAAATAAAGACCAGCTGGGCACCAATTTCACAGGCCTATAATCCTGCCTGTCATCCTAGCTACTCAGGAGGCTGAGATCTAAGGAACACGGTTCAAAGCCAGCCCCGGCAGGAAACCAGAAGTGGCGCTGTGGCTCAAGTGGCAGAGTGCTCGCCTTGAGCTGAAGAGCTGAGGGACAGCGCCCAGACCCAGAGTGTAAAAAAAAATAGCACTAGCTGGGCGCCAGTGGCTCACACCTGTAATCCTAGCTACTCAGGAGGCTGAGATCTGAGGATCGAAGTTCAAAGCCAGCCCAGGCAGGAAAGTCTGTGAAACTCTTAAGTGGCGCTGTGGCTCAAGTGGTAGAATGCTCACCTTGAGCTGAAGAGCTGAGGGACAGCCCTGGCCCAGAGTTCAAGCCCCACGACCACCACCACCACCAACAACAAAAGAGTACTGTTTATATGCAATGTAAAAAACCTAGCACTTGTTACAGTTCTCACTGGACATCAACACAATTTCACAAGGTAACTTACAACAGGGAAACACCGTGAGGAGGGGAACACAGGTGTGCACTAGACACAGAGCCAGAGGAGCTGGAGCCCTCTGTGCAAAGATGCTTGCTACTGCGGGGTTTCTCACTGCCGGCCTCATTAGCCAGCTCTACTAGTCCTCAAACGGAAGGGCTAAAGTCTCCAGTGCCGTAAACTGTTTTTTCCCTTCAATTCTGTCAACTTTTGCTTCTTAAATGTTGGGGCTCTCATTAGGTTTGCATTCATTGAAAGTGTTATATCTTCTTGCTTCACAAATTACTTGGTTATTGTGAAATACACCCTCTGTCTCCAGGTCTATTTTGTCCGGCCTTAGCGTAGCCCCTCCAGCTGTCTTCCAAGTTCATTCTTTTTGCCAGTCTTATTTTCAATCTGTTTGACTCTTCTAATTCAAAGTGAGTCTCAGGTGTGCTGAGGCATCGCACTTATGTACGTTATTTGTAGATGCCTGTCTTCAGCTCTGTTCCCAAGGGAAACTCAACTAAGACACAGGGCAAATCTTACATAGTAAAACCCACATGTTCTCAGTAGAGACTTCTTACCTTCCTCCTTGAATCTTTATCCTTTCCAATACTCCTTACTAAATTCTCTGCATGCCTGGAAAGCAAACATGATCAAAATCAAATTTTACTTTTAAGTGTAGACTTGTAAGGAGTAAGGAATTTTCCAGGCATGCGGGTAGCACATGCTTATTATCCAGCACTCAGGATGCTGAGGCTGGAGAGTTCAGTTCAAAGTCAGTGTGTGCTACATGCAAAAACCCTGTCTCAAAAAGCAATGAAAGGAGCCGGGCACCAGAGGCTCACACCTGTCATCCTAGCCACTCAGGAGGCTGAGATCTGAGGCCTGCTGTTTGAAGACAGCTGGGGCATGAATATCCACGAGACTCCTATCTCCAATAAACCAACAAAAAAACAGAGGTGTGAGTCAGGCGGCAGAGCACCAGCCTTGAGTGAAAAAAATCTGAGGGATAACACCCAGGCTTTGAGTTCAAAAATAAACAAATAATAAAATTTAAAAATAAAATATTTTCCATCTTAGTCAACTGCTAAAGGTTAGAAAAATCATGGTTTATTAGAACTATGAAAACTAAAATATTCCTAATATTTTTATTATTTCAGGAACAAATACAAAAAATATCTTCAGCAGACAGAAGAATCTATGCATCTTGACCAACATTTGCATGTATGTCTGTACATCAATCCTGAGTACTAATTTATGTTTAATATAATAATGTTCAGTTATAGGTTCTATTCCCAGAGAGATACTCTCTATTTTTAATCTTATATGTTAGTTAAGATTTAAGGGTTTTCAAATTTTGAATTGATTCTCAATTTTTACAACTCACATTCTTCCCAATCAATAGATCACAGAAGTGGGCATGTATTCTAACAGATTATCAGTTTTAAATCCAGTAATTTGGCTCCCCAGGACTAAGTTCTAGCCTTGTTCAAACTGGCAAAAATTTTGCAAAGACATTTAAGCAAGCTTGACTAAAGTATGAAAAGGAAGTACAAATTACCATGGTCATCAACAGCAGATTAAAACCTAGTACTAATGTCTGGGGTATGGCTCTGTGGTAGCACATTTAGCACAGCGAGGCCTTAGACTCAAACCTTACCACTGCAAAATAAAATACAAAGTATTTAAAGTAAACTACAACCTAGGGCTTCTGTTCAGACTTAGTCTACATATGAACTCCAATCTGCAACCCACAGAGTAGGAAGTAAACTACAACCTAGGGCTTCTGTTCAGACTTAGTCTACATATGAACTCCAATCTGCAACCCACAGAGTAGGAAGTAAACTACAACCTAGGGCTTCTGTTCAGACTTAGTCTACATATGAACTCCAATCTGCAACCCACAGAGCAGGTATCAGCACCTAGCTTCACGGAAAGATCCCTCTTGAGGCCCACATCGACCCCAGGCCAGGGCCCCAGCACCAGCTGGCCGGGACCGGTCTTAGGCCTGAAGGCTCTCTCTCTCCCGCTCACTCACCCACTACCAACACTCGGACAGGAGACTTGCACAGTGTGTTTTTTGTGGATATGAGCCGGAATGAATGTGCTCACACCTATAAGAGGGGCTAGACCAGCCACCTGCAGCTGTGACTTCAGGTGAGGCGGGGCCATGGCTGCTCCCATACCAACCAGTCTCCCGCAGAGTGAGACTGATTCTCTTAGTTGGCATGAGACAATATTCAAAAAGCTAAAAAACGACTAGCCATTTATAATAAGTGTCTAGCTGCTCTAGTATACCTAAAGAATAATTTGGAGGAGTTAAGTCTACAGAAAACAAAGTACAACTATAGGTTATTACTATTTACCATCTGTAAGTAAGACTAATTTTTAAAGCATTCCATTAGAACTGTATTAAACTTAAGAGTCAAGAGAACGTGTCCTCCTTACTGGCTGCCAGGCCCATCTCTTTTCAAACGTGCACCTCGATTTCTGTGTTCACCATTCTAGCAAATGAAGAAAGAATTCCATAACCATTAAGTTGTACATAATGAATTAAGTATAATTAGTAAATTTAAAAGCAAATGTGGACTTAAAAGTTAACAGCATCTATGCTACAAGTAAATGTTAAGATAACTATTTTTGCTAGCTATCTTTAACAAATTAGGTAACTCATGTATTTCATGAGTAATTACATTACATCAGTATGTAAAATAATTGTGGCCATCCATTTCACATACACAACATATTTAGTAATAAACCTAACAAGTGCCTCATAATACATAGAATTATAGACTTTCAAACATATAGGATGCACCTATTTCACAGGCCTATTCTCCTATAGAAAAAAAAAATTAAACAACCTTCTCTTGAATTAAGTGAATTTAAATATAGGATTACAACAATTAGATTATAGCGGGCACTGGTGGCTCACACCTGTAATCCTAGCTACTCAGGAGGCTGAGATCTGAGGATCTTGGTTCAAAACCAGCCAGGGTAGGAAAGTCCATGAGACACTTATCTCCAATTAACCACCAGAAAACTGGAAGTGGCACTATGGCTCAAGTGGTAGAGCGCTACCCTTGAGCTGAAGAGCTGAGGGACAGTACCCAGGCCCAGAGTTCAAGCCCCACGACTGACAAACAAAACAAAACAAAAAACTATTAGATTATAAACCAATAAATGCTGGTGGGCTGCTGGAAAAGAGAGATCAAGAATTGGACTTCCAGAGAAAGCACAAAGAGGAAGTTTACAGTCCCAGCAGCCCTAAGACTGTGTAAAACCCTATCTG